TGCAGAAAAAGGACCTGGGATCTCTTCTTGAGTTAGGAATGCTCCTTTGGATTGGTGAGCAGAACCAAGTGGATCCTTCAGAGTTCCCATCTGTGTTTGTGTCTCAGCCTGTGTTATGATTCAGGGCTGTAGCTGTTGTTGTCACTGAGGAGTCAAACTCTGCTTTAAATAATGAGACAGTGGCCTAATGGCCAAGTGTCAAGAAAAAAGGGGGAATGTTCTCTGAGTGTTGAGATGTAACAAGGGCTGATCCTTTCTGCAGGGGGATGTAGCCTGGAAACTGCACAGAGCTGAGCCAAGGGATTTAAAGGGAGTAACCAAGGGAGGTGAAGAAAGAAGGAAGAAGGGAAGTGAGGCAGCAGCCAAGCAGCACCAAGTTCCTGTGTCAGCAGGTGAGTTGTCTTGAGGTTCCTCAGGCAGGCACTGAGGACTTGGAGGGCTCCAGACAGAGCAGACCTGGGAAGGCCCTCGGTGAAGCCCATTAGAAACATTCTAAGGGTAGGTGTGTATGGTAATAGTGTAGGAAAATGTCCTGAATATTGAACAGGAATGCAGGGAATGAAAAGGAATCCTCCTGTAATGCTTCCATATCAGCTGCAGTGGAGATAGCTCAGTGTGCCCTTTGGGAGCTGATGGCCAGGGCACCTGGCAGGCTGGAATGATTCAAGAGCATAGGAATAAAAGATTGCCTGGCTTCTAAAACTCACCAGCTGAGTCTTAGAGGTTTCTTTGAAGAGCTGTTTTCAGGCAGCAGAATTGGCCCCCAGGAGGGACTCTGTGCCTGCTCTCCCGTGGCTCCAAGGGATCTCTGGGCCTTCATGCCGGCACCGAGATTTTCTCGGGAAGGGCCTCAGATCCCCGGACCAGTCTGGGACACAGGCAAGATCCCCCTGCAATTTAGGACCAAATAGGGCCCCCCTGGAGGGACAGTGCTGTTGGTGCCCCCCGGGCTGGGGCACCCCGAGGACTCCAGCGCGCACCGAAAGGATTATTCGGGGAGATCCTCGGGGTGCCCAGCCCTGGGGAGCTCAAAGCAAGGTCCCTGCAATGGATTCAGGCATTGCTGAGAGTATCCCAGGTGCACCTGTCCCTGCTAGACATGGAGCTCTCTCATGGGCTGTAATTGGGTGATAAAAGTGGTGCTCCAAGTGCCAAAGCAGTGTGGGATTGGGATTAAGAAATGAGCAGTGATGGTACAATTGGCTGTTTACTCTTGAATGTAATGGTAAGAGCTGCAGGAGTGCAAGGTGTGTGTTCCAGTCCCCAGCATTTGGTTTGCACATGTCCTGGTCAGACACAGGTCCAACTTCCTCAGTCCTTAACAAAACAGCAGGAGAATTAAGGACTGGCAGTGTTAAGGTGATTGGTGTGACAGGGGTTAAACTGGGGAAAAAAAACATTGGGGAATTCCTCAGTTGCCCTTTTTGCCAAACTTTCCCAAACTTGTGCTCAGAGATGGTTGATTGGAAAAGTTGAGGCAGAAATGAAATTGCAAACTGGGGATATTGAAAGTGTAATTTCTGAAACTGAATGTGTCCAAGCAGCAGCTCTTGTTGTGCAGGGAATAACTCCTGTCAGCAGCAAGGTCCCGACAGAAGTGGCAGCTGCAGTTGTTCCTGTGGTGTGGGCCAGTGGACTTGCAGGAGAGTGGAAGAGGGCAGGACCTATAGGTATTACCCCTAATGTGAGATCTCTCCTGGTAAGGCAAAGCCAGTATCCTTTAAAATCAGAATGCCAGCTTGGATTGGTTGCAGTAACAGCTAAATTTGCTCCTCCTGGTTTGCTTGTAGAATGTGAATGCAAGAACCTGCCAAGAAACCAATGGCCAAGATGATTGATGAATGCAGGACCTGAGAGAACCACGTTGAATGACAACCTCGAACAGTTTCCAGTATTGGATGGAAAAGATGGCCTTTGCTGCATCTCCTTGAGCAAGGAAAGCCAGGAAAACTTTGCTTTTGAAGGAGAAAATCTGGCAAGTGGGAAGGAAGAAAAGCAGCCACCTGACTCCTCCCTGAGCCCCAGACAGCCCATGAACTGCCTTCCTGGGAATGGTAGGACCGGGTGGACTCTGGATTGCTCCTTCTGGATGTGTGGTAAGACTGTTATGCCAACCTTTAAGAACAGCCTGTAAGCATTTGCTGCCTTGGCTGGATGGTGCAAGGGCAGCCTTTAAGCAGCTAAAGCATTCCCTGAGGAGAGCTCTGGGTCTGCCAGATCACTCAGAACTGTGGGAAGCATCTTTGGTGGGGAGGACAAACAAAGGGCAAGGTGTGCAGTGACCCCCTCTGAGAAGGGACTTGCAGTTAATGGCATCCCTGCAAGTGAACTCTGTGGGCTGTTCCCCCTGTAGGGCAGGTGATAGTGCCAGCTACAGTGATGGAAAAAATAGTTAAAAGGGAGCCCCAAAAGCTGGAAATCCTCCTGGAGGCTCTTGGCCAACAGAGTTTGCTGAGTTGCCCCTGCAAGAAGGATAGTGATAGCTTTTGAGTGCTGGTAGATCCTTTTAATAGATAGCCTTGAGTGTGTCCTTGTTGCACCAGTAGGCCTTGTCCAACTCCCCATATTCCAGGAGATAGACATATTAAAGTTTAAAGTGATCTTCCTAATCCTTCATAATCTTGAGGCTCTCCCCTGCAGGAACTCCAGGAACTCCTGGTGCCGCCTGGGCCGATGGATTGGACGCCCCAGCCCCTCCGTTCCTGCCCAGCCACTGGGGCCGTGTCGAGTGGTGGCACTGCCAGCCCCTGCAGGTGAAGGGGAAAGGGCCTTTGCAGGTCTTGGGGATCACATTTATAGCAGCTAAAGCTGCAGAAAAAGGACCTGGGATCTCTTCTTGAGTTAGGAATGCTCCTTTGGATTGGTGAGCAGAACCAAGTGGATCCTTCAGAGTTCCCATCTGTGTTTGTGTCTCAGCCTGTGTTATGATTCAGGGCTGTAGCTGTTGTTGTCACTGAGGAGTCAAACTCTGCTTTAAATAATGAGACAGTGGCCTAATGGCCAAGTGTCAAGAAAAAAGGGGGAATGTTCTCTGAGTGTTGAGATGTAACA